GTCCATTTTGTTCTGGTTATTTTTGGAGCAAGGGTCTTACAAACTATTTGCCTGGACTGGCCTCCAACCATGATCTTACTGAGCTCAGCCTCTCAAGTAGCTAGGATTACAGGTGTGAGACACTGGCACCCAACTTAAATAGTATCTTTAAAGTTTTTTTAGCATGATGCTTACAAATAGTTAGCTCTTCGTACACCTGAGTTTGCTGGGGTGAGACAGGGCTCCAGCTATATGGAGGCCTGGAGTGGGGCAGGGGAACCACTGCAGCTAGACATCAAAAAATGGGGACCCAAAAGCCCCAAAGCTAGTTAAACCCAGGTTAAAAGTTGTGGTGCCCTGACTTTAAGGGAAAGTTACATTTAACTGAGAATCAGTTGTGGAAAGCATTTTATAAAGCATGAATGAATATTAATTATAATTATTACATTTGTCAAACCCATAAAGAAAAGCAGTCGTAGGGAATTCTGAATATAGAAGAACTTTGACAAATCAAGAAAATTAAAAAAAAAATTGAAAAGTGGGCAATACAAATATATCATGAACCAGAACAAACTAAAATGGATGAAGACCAACATTCATCCTTTCAAGGAAAACCCTGGAGTTTCCCTATGAGCTGGACATGAAAGGACCAGGGATTAGAAAACCTGAAGCTAAAAAACGAAATTCCAGAATGCCATGGAAAGTTCAGTGAAGTGACCCTGAGGCTCTACGAAGTCATGAAACCATGGTCATTGAGATAAAGTCTGCTTTGCTTAAAAAAAAAAAAAAAACTAAACTAAAATATGAACAACCATAGTTATAGCAGCCACTCTTTTTTTTTATTTTTATTTTATTATTCATATGTGCATACAAGGCTTGGTTCATTTCTCCCCCCTGCCCCCACCCCCTCCCTTACCACCCATTCGGCCCCCTCCCTCTCCCCCCCCAAAACCCAGCAGAAACTATTTTGCCCTTATTTCTAATTTTGTTGTAGAGAGAGTATAAGCAATAATAGGAAGGAACAAGGGGTTTTGCTGGTTGAGATAAGGATAGCTATACAGGGCATTGACTCACATTGATTTCCTGTGCGTGGGTGTTACCTTCTAGGTTAATTCTTTTTGATCTAACCTTTTCTCTAGTACCTGTTCCCCTTTTCCTATTGGCCTCAGTTGCTTTAAGGTATCTGCTTTAGTTTCTCTGCGTTAAGGGCAACAAATGCTAGCTAGTTTTTTAGGTGTCTTACCTATCCTCACCCCTCCCTTGTGTGCTCTCGCTTTTATCATGTGCTCATAGTCCAATCCCCTTGTTGTGTTTGCCCTTGATCTAATGTCCACATATGAGGGAGAACATACGATTTTTGGTTTTTTGAGCCAGGCTAACCTCACTCAGAATGATGTTCTCCAATTCCATCCATTTACCAGCGAATGATAACATTTCGTTCTTCTTCATGGCTGCATAAAATTCCATTGTATAGCAGCCACTCTATATCCAAGCAAAATGATGATGCAGAACCAGAATTGACTCATATAGAATTTGCATCAATTTATAAGTTTGGATGTGACGGATTAGACTGTGTCACTGTTGGGTCATCCCCCAAACTAAGGATTTATACGGAACAAGTATAGAGAAGGTTCTCTGAACTTCTGTTCCTTATTGGCCACCAAGGCCTGAAAGATTCAGCAAACTTGCTCACAGGTATGCTGCTGGCCTAGTTACTGTGTGGCTCAATAATCACCCATGGGCATGTCTGTTCATGTGTAGAATAACAAATCACTAACTTCAGGTCTCCCAGGAAAGACGTAGCTGAGCAAATGTGCGTAGTGGCAAGTTATGCTTACATGATAACCATAACGCAATCAAAGGATATTAGAGAAATGTTTAGAATGTACAGTTGTGTTGAGTTTTGTTGCTAATGAAATACTACCCTTTTTGAAAACTGCTGAAACAAACTTGGGCCTTTGTTTGAGTATGGAAAACATGTTGACATCCAGCAGTTCTAGAATGGTCTTCAAAATTATTTCTTAATCTCACAACAGCTACCATATTGAAGAAGCACATGCCCTCTTATAAGGGCTTTGAGAACACCTGGAGCCAGCCTCATGGTCCCTGTGACAAGAGCAGCACTGGGGTGCTGTAGGACAAGAGCACGGAATAACCAAGGGTCAGTGATACATTTCATGACCTCAAGTATGTTGGTACCATAGGCTATGGAAGCGGAATCAACCACTAAGTCAAAGGACATGGGCATTTTACAGAAAAGGAAACACAAAAGCTCTTAAGCATGTAAAAGATGCAATTCTGTGCACAAGAGAGATGAGATCACAACTCAAATGGAATATCATCTTTCGCCTACTAGATAGGCAAAGATTTAAATTTTTGATATGGGCTGGGGATGTAGCTCAATGGTAGAGAGAGTGCTTTGTATGTGTGAGGCCCTGGGTTCAATACCCAGCACCACAAAAAAATAATTAAAAATAAATTGGGCTGGTGGAGTGGCTCAAGTGGTAAGAGCACCTGCCTAGCAAGCATGAGGCCCTGAGTTCAAATTCCAATGCTGCTTTAAAAAATAAAAAATAAAAATAAATAGATAACCTACTATATTAGTGTGCATGGGGAAAGAGGCACCACTTTGTAATGATCATGAGAACACAAACTGTTGTAGCCAGTGTATGGGGTAACTACAACATCCATCAAAACTAGATACAATTTCACTTCCAAGCATTTAAACTGTAAAGTTGCACATGCTAAATAAATGTACGAGAATTTTAGAGCTTTGTTTTTGTGTGAAAATGTCTGATAACAAGGGACTAACTATAGATACATACAGTGGAATACCATACAGCTATCAATGATAATGACAGCTCTATGTATACTGGTATACAGAATGAGGCTGACACATGTTAGGCAAAAAGAGCAAGCGGGGAAACAGATGTACAACTTGCTAAAATTGTAGTAATAAATGTGATGATGTGTACACATGCTCAGATGTGTGTAGACTATGTCTGAAATAGTTCCTACAACAGTCTAAGAGGCCTTACATAGTCTAACTTGCTCTTTGGTACCTTGTCATGACCCTTCTGATTCATCTCTCTCCCTTACTGCACTCTACTGGCCCTGGCCACTTTGCTATTGCTGGAGCACCCTGGGCACTAGGAAAGTTCTCCTAGATGTCCCCAGGCCTCACTTCTCACCTCCTTTAAGCCTCTGTTTAAATCTAATCTTCCCAGTGAGGTCTACACTGACCACCCTGATTAAAACTACATTCCTCACCCACCAGTTCGCCTTACCCCACTCTACTATTCCTTTTCTTCCCACAGTTCTCATCACTCAGGGCCTCACACTTGCTAGGCAGGCACTCTACCACTTGAGCCACTCCACCAGCCCTGTTTGTTGCGTTGGGTATTTTCTATTTGCCCAGGCTGGCTTCAAACCCAGATTCTCCTGATTTCTGCCTTCTGAGTAGCTAGGATTACAGGCGTGAACCTGTGATTACAGGTACCTGGCATGATGGCTTTTTTTTAAAAAACAGAGTTTCACTTATATGCTTGGACTGTGATCCTCCCAATCTCTGTCTCTTGTAGTTAGGATTACAGGCTTGAGTCAGTGTGCTGGCTCTAACATTCTATTATTCAGTGTGCATATGTGCTGTTTTTTTTCTGGTGGTATAGGGGTTGAACTCAAGGTCTTGAGCTTTCTATGCAGGCACTTTACTACTTGAGTCATGGCACTATGTTTATAGTTTGTTTCCTCCCAGTACAACATAAACTCTACAAAAGGTAGCAGTCTTTGTCTACTGATACAGGCCAAGCATCTAACACCTCATAGGGGCTTAGTAAATAATTGTTAAACACAAGATAACAAGTCTTATCCACAGAGAGGGAAACTGAGGGATTGGAGGTAGGCACGGGAAGGAGACTTCCTTTTCAGTACACACCCTGGTATACTTTGTACCAGGTTCTTTTATTCACTGGTAAAAATTTAAGTTAAAATGTCAGCCCTAAAATAGTATGTAAGAATTGGAAGAATTGACAACCTGGATATACACACTTCATTTAACATATGATGATCCAAGTGCAGAGGAGTTAGGTAACTTGCTCAAGGTAACATGAGCAGGATTTAAATCCACATCTACCCTCTCCAGAGCCCTAGCTTTTAACTATTATGCCATTGAGCCAAACAAAAAGTGATTTGGGGCCAGGTGCTGGTGGCTTACATCTGTAATCCTAGCTACTCAGGAGGCAGAGATCAGGAGGATCACTGTTTGAAGCCAACTCCCAGCAAATAGTTCCCAACACAACACAATAAAATTGCTGGAGGACTGGCTCAAGCGGTAGAGCACCTGCCTAGCAAGCATAAAGCCTTGAGTTCAAACCCCAGTACCACCCCCCCAAAAAAAAAGTGATTTGGGGCTCTAATCAGCCAATTTAACGTTGTGAGATAGAATGATAAACTGAATTGTTCCAGACCAGGCATGGTGGCATAATGCCAGCTACTTGGAAGGTGAAGGTAGGAGGACCAAGGATTGAGGCCTGGCCTGGGCAAAAAACACAAGATCCTATCTGAAAGATAAACTAAAGCAAAAAGAGTTGAAGGACATGGTTTAAGTGACAGAATACTTGAACCTAAGGCCCTGATTTCAAATCTCAGTACCACCAAAAATAAGTAACAAATAAACTGAATTGTTCCAAAGATCATGATTTGCCTCTAATTGCCCATCTCCATTACAATGAACTCCAAGGGACAGTCTCAGTTCTTTTGAAAGGAGATTTTGATTGTATTTGTGCAAGGCTGTTGACATAAATGAGAATATTGGACTTGGGGATTCTTTTAGGAGACCTTGGCTGTCACAATAAAGACTTAATCTCAGTCCCTTGCAGGTGGAAGCCCAATGTTCCTGAGCCATTCAATTCCCGGCAGAAGTACTCATACTTCTTCCAAAGCCACCAAGAGGTCTGGAGGAGCTGCTGCATGTTTGGGGGCGAGGGAAAGATTTGAGAGCACTAGGCCTGATGGTGGGCACGTTAGGTAGTGGGAGTATTCCCAGGGACTATTAAAGACCAGCCGCTGCGCCTTCCGAACAGGAATGAGTGGCGGGAACCCTTCTGGGCCCAGATCAGGTGTCGCATCCGTCGCTGCTGTTGGAGCCAGTACAGCATCTCCACTCTGTCCTGCTTCATCTTGTCCAGGTAGCGCCTCCCCTTAAAGGTCACTGGCTCCCCAAAGATTAACTCAATCTCCTCCAGGAGCTTAACCAAAGGAGCCTCTACTAGATGGAGCTTCCTGTGGAGCTGGCTGCGGAACTGACTCTCCTCCAGGAAGCGACTGAGACTCAAGTCAGTCTTCTGGAAGAAGCGGTTGGGGTCAGAGGCTTGTCGCTCAAACCACTCCAGTCTCCCCAGCAACATCTCCCGCATCTGAATGGGCTTCAGGACTCGCTCCCAGGCCTTCACCAATACTGGCAGCTGCTGCAAGCGGGCATTAGAGCTATACTTGATGACCATGTCTAGCCGGCCCTTGTCAGGGACTTCAAACATGGACCACAATCGTTCCAGACATTTCTGCAGGCTCTGGATGTGGATTTTTCTGGTTTCTAGCCTGTGGTCCATTACTGTGCTCCAATCCCACTCTCCTGGCACAAAATCTGGTTCCTCATCTTCCAACAAGGGAGGAGGACGTGGAATCTCTAGGGAATCTTTGACTGGGACCAGCACCTCCACAGGAACCTCTTCTTCATACATGTGGAAAATGACATGGAGGTAATCTGTCTCCTGGCTAGAGAGATAGTTGAAATAATCATCCACGGACACCGTGTTTTTCCACCAAGTCAGCCATGAGGTTTTGTTTGCTTGCTTCTCCCAGCTTTTGCTCGGGTGGAGTAATACAGGAGAAGACATCTCAGGATTGGACTGCTGAGTGTTTGTTCTCTGGGAATAAAACCCAGTCAGATCAGGGTTGATGATGTGAAACTGTTTTTCTTTGCGTAGAAGGGCTGAGGACATGATGGATGACCAGTCTTCATCTGCTGTAGGCTCAATCAAGGATCCTTGGTCAAAACGGAAGTGGTTAGCAGAGACACAGCTCATCAACTCCTTGTAGATCTCCGTGGTGCTACTGCCAATGAAGCGATCAATATCCATATCTTCAATGACTTTGGAGTCTAGTTCACCATTCAGGTGGTTGTACAGGACTCCAGCACCCTCGACATGGAAAGAGTCCAAAAAGTTTCTATCAGAAAGCATCATAGTAGCTACTTGGACCACGACTTGATTCCTTAGCTTCAAAGTAATGGTCGCTGGTTGTGGTTGAAGTGGACAGGATTTGGGGGGCTGGAGATCCCACAGCCCAGAGGCCTCTTCCTCCTGGAGGTTCTTCAGAGTTCTGTGTAGCTCCTTCATGCGTTGCTCTGCAGCAATGCTGTGGGTCAGGACTCCCAAGAGCGGAGGGAGGCCTGAGTCTACTGGTGAGCGGCGCCTCCACTCGGAGTTCAACTTCTTCATCTTCTGCTTCAGATCCTCAGCCACAATGTCTTCAGTCAACTCTGGTTTGCTTTCTGCAGCTAAAATCAGGGGAGTTAAGGGGCGAGAGGGGAGTGGAGGGAGGCCCATCTCATCTGCTAGTTTCCAGCCCTCACACAGAGAGGGCATGGACTGGCCTCTCTGGAGCCAGGAGAAGACACGTGAAGGGAGGAAGTCAGAAGACTCACTGGTGGGAGTTACGGAATGACTAGGCAGTGGCACCTGTGAGGAATCGAAGTCGATTTCTTTCTCCTTTCTTATGGAGGGCAGCCAACGGAGAGGCTTTCTACCCTTGAGCTTGGGAATGGACTTCAGTTCCTTTACGGGATCCAGTTTGGGCTCAATGAAAAACTCTGATGGGCGACTGAGATGGATGAGATAGGTCAGGTTGAGGCTGGAACATGGCACTTGGGCAAAGCCGATGCTGTGCGGCCAGGGGATGGGACAGAACTTGAAAGTTCCGGGGGGACAAGTAGGGCGCAGCCTGGTCACGCCTTTCTGCGTGGGCTGCAGGTTCAACAGGGCCTGGAAATCTGCGAGCAGGGCACGGTAGACGGCGGGACTGGTGAGGAAGACTGTGCAGTCCCTGGCAAGGCTGGCAGCCAACCGGGTGAGGGTGGCTGACTCAGTGAAGACCGCTTTGGAGGTCGACATGGTCACTAGCAGGTGCAAGTAGCGTAAGAAGAGCTGCTCGCAGCAGAGCAGCACGTAGGACTCGAGGCGCTTCCGCAGCTTCAGGTTGTTCCCGTAGCTCAGACTAGGTTCGCTAGGAGGCTCCTGCCAGCTGCACTTTAGCTCGTCTAGGATGACCTCCGTGAGACGTAGCCGGTCCTTGGGAGACACCCGCGCTGCCAGTCCGCTGCTGGCCAGCAGCCTGGCTACATTGCGGCACAGCGGTGCCACCCGCAGCTTCGCTAGCGGTACGGACTCTAATTTCCGACCCTCGGGAGGGCGGCGCTTCGGAAGCTCTGGAGGCGGTGTCCTGCGGGGGAACAGTGACAGCGGACTCAGTAACCGGTGGTAAAACCGCTGGAATTCAGGCTCTTGCCTCTGGGGCTCCATCTTAGCGCAGACGGCTCCCGCGCACCGGGCAGAGGACGCTAAACAGTTACTAAAGCAACCCGGGCTGATGCCCTTGTGCGTGTGCGCGTGCGCAGCCAGTGCCCGCCGCCGGGGGGACGACGGGCGGGTGCCTGGCGTACGCACGCACGCGCCAGGAGGCGGGGCAAAGGGTGTGTTCCGCGACTCCGCCCCTCCGTGGCGCAGCGTTGGCCTCTGGACCTGAGGTGCTGCTGTCCTCCGGCAGGTCCAGGATGACTTCTGACGCAGGGGATCGCGGGTCCCTGTGCACGGTAAGAGTGGAGGCTTCTGCGGAGCCTCGCCTGGCACAGCGTCAGCTCTCGGGGTGATCGTTGTATTGGGAGGTGGGGAAGGAGCAAACACCTGGGGCGGGGCCTGGGACCACCAGGTGAAATTGCCGGACTAGGGTAGCAGGGCCCCGAGCGTGAGTGTTGAGGAATAAGAACATGGTCCTGGAATGATCATGAGATAATGAAGGAACTTGAATGGGGGGCAAGTGCGACATGTGCCCAGGCCTTGGGGTGGTCATAGGGATGGTGGTGAAACAGGGTCACGCCGGACACTTCCCCAACCTTGATCTGACGGTCCCTGTGGCTCTTGCAGCTGGAGTTCGCAGTGCAGATGACCTGCCAGAGCTGCGTGGATGCAGTGCGTAAGTCCCTGCAAGGGGTGGCAGGTAAGAACGGGATAAACCTCTCTGTGGACAGTCCTGAGGCCCCTGGGAAAAACCAGGCCAATCTCTTAGTCCAGTTCTACTCCTGTTTTACAGATGCAGAAACTGATACCCAGAGAGTGAAAGAAATGTTCTCGGAGTCACAGAGACCCAGAGGCAGAGTTTAGAGTACACATCTCAGGTCTCAAGCTTGCCTTGCCAGAGCCCTCTGCTGGCTCTACCTGTCCTGCTGCCTTCCAGAGTGAGGAGCTAGAGTAGAGCATTCACTGAGGGAGAACACAGGCAGTTCTTGCTTAGGAAACAGCACAATCCTGACAAAGCCAACAGCAGCTCTGGTTCTGGCCCAACTTAGGTAGCTTCTGGTTCTTAAAATGCCAGGAGGTGTCCTGGCACAACTGAAAGTTCTGAAAGGTAGTCACTGGCATGGTGCTGGAAACTGGCTTCCTTCCATTCTGTTAAATGTTCATCCAGCCATTCAGCAAGTATAGACTAGACACTGGGGGCTTTTCAGGGAGAAGGTTCACTCCTGTACTCAAGTAAAGATTAGCATGCAAGCACTGTCCAGGTGACATTCACAGAACGCTTGATGGGGGCACAGCAGTTCTGAGAGGGAAGGAGAGGAGCTGGGTTCTGAAGCCAGGACAGCCCTGGACTCTGAAGGTGGAATCTGTCTAGGGTGACACAGTGTGTTGTAGTGGTTAGAGGAATGCATTCAGGAGTCAGATCTGTTTGGGTTCAAATCCCCTCTTTGCCCTTTACTGGCACAAAGACTTAATGCTTGTTACTTTTTGTCCTTCTGTATCTGCAGAGTTTAAATAGTAGAAGCTCCCCTAGGATCATCATGAAGAGTAAATTAATTGATGCATGGACAGCACTTTAGCAAAAGTCTTGGGCATGTAGTAAGAGCCCAGTAAGTCTCAGAGGATTATGAGAGGAAGGGCTTACAGGTAGTGATCTGCTTAGAGGGAAGCTTTTTTAATTTTTTAAAAATTTAAAAAATTTAAATTTCCAGGGTGTTTTTCCTTTTCTTTTTTTATTTTTATTTTTTCCGAGGGGCGGTGGTGGTGGTGGTGTACTTGCTTCCTAAGTAGCAAGTAGTAGTAGTGGTAGAGTTCCTAAGTAGGTACTCTACCACTTGAGCCAAGGTCCAGCCCTTTTTGCTTTTTCTTTTAAATCCTATTTACACTTCCTGCCTAGCTGGGAAGTGTGTGCCACCATGCCCAAATTTTATAATTTTTATTGGTCAAGATGGGGTCTCAAGAACTTTTTGCCTGGGTTGGGCTTGAACTGTGATCTTCCCGATCTTTGCTTGCTGTGGAGATAGAATCACAAGCTTGAGCCATCGCCCCTGGCTGTTTCTGTATTTGCTTTTTGAGAAAGGGTCTTGCTATGTAGCATACACTGGCTTCAAACTTGCAGTTCCCCTGCCTCATTCTCCCAAGTTGTGGAATTGCAGACATGTGCCACCTTGTCTGGCTCTGAGGGAACAGAGCTTGAAGCTGGATTTGCTTTGACTATGTGTTTTGGGATGGAAGGTGAGGGTCTGATTGAGATTAGCTGTTCCACTAAGAGTAAAGTTTTCTAACCAAAGTTTTTCCAGGATGTAGGGCCCTCTACTTCCTGTAAAGCGTTCTTACTGGGAGAACAGACAGCTGGACTTTTTGTTGGACCCAAGGCAGTTTTTAGCTCTCATCAGGTTTCTTGGGTACCAGAGAGACTTCTGGTGACTTGTTTTGTGGTCTGGATAACTGAAATCAGCTTGTCTTTCCATGGCTAGGCAGGGAATCGCAGTTTCCAGAATGCAGACACAGAGTTGTCTGGAACCTTGGGAAAGACAGTTTTTCTCTCCTTCCAGGGATCAGGGAAGGAGCTCCCAGCCAAGGCTTACCACCTTGAGTGCTTAGCACTCTCCCTGGAGTTCCTGTGGCCTCTCTTTTCTCCTTACTTCGACCTGAGCTAACCAAAGCCTAGTTTGGCCACACTCCAAGCAAGATTCACCAGCCAAACTGAACTGCTGCCTTGGTGGGGAACCAGACTTCTGGTTTCAACTCAGATCAGGAATTCAGGAGGATAATAGTGACAAGGAGCTTCTACTCTGGGCCCTTCCACTTCAGGAACAGAGAATCAGCTCTTCTTGGGAGCCCTAGGGTCTGGGAACCCACTCAGGTTGGGACTAGGCCGTCAGGAAGCCTTATCTGCTGTGTATACAAAGCACACTCAGGCCTCCATACTAATCCTGACCATCTCTCTTTCCCCTTGCCTGTACAAGAACCTCATCTGTGGGCAACCTGTTGCCTTCCCCTTGCCTGTACAAGAACCTCATCTGTGGGCAACCTGTTGCCTCTCTTGCCCCTCTAGTAGCTTTTCCACATGAAAGTGGAGAGAGTATGAGAATCATCCTGCAGGGTTGTGTAAGGATTTTAGGCTGTTTTTCTGAAACACTGACTTTGAACTTGATCTTTATGGACCATACAGAGCTGCCCTTAAAGAGCTGGCAGTCTAGTGACTCAAACAGAGGATTGTCATCAGTGCGGAGTGAGTTTCTCAGAGGAAGTAGGAGGTGCTATGGGACAAGTGTGGGGGAGTGGTGTCCCAACCCACCCTGGACCTAAGGGCTTTTCTTGGGGTGAGCAGAGTACCTGGGTTAAGTGTTTGCGCTCTAGAGCTAGGCTATCTGAGCTGAATTCCATTTATATGACTTATTACAATGTGACTCTGACCAAGTTTCTTAATCTCTCTGTGCCTCAGTATCCTTATTTGTAAAATAAGGAAAACACCAAATTCACAGGGTTTCTAGGAGTATCAAATGAGGCAACACAGGGCAGGCAGAATGGCTCAAGTGGCAGAGCACCTGCCTAGCAAGCATGAGGCCCTGAGTTAAAAAAAAAAAAATATTGCTGTGGATAGCCCATTTTTATACATTTTTTTTTTTCCTGGTGGTACTGGACTGGGGTTTGAACTCGGGGTCTCACACTTGCTAGGCAGGTGCTCTGTCACTTGAGCTACTCCACCAGCCCTATAAAGACATCTTAAAAGCTGGTTGTGGGTGGGCACACCTGTGATCCAGCACTCAAGAGGCAGGAGGATCGTGACCATGAGGTCAACTTGGGCTACATAGCAATACTCTGTCTCAAAAAAAGGAAAAAAAAATTTAAGAATTTTCTGTGTTTGAGAAGTTATAAATAATGCCTAGGACTCAAAAAGCATACTCCTAAGGTCACAGGCCATAGGAAGGTTGGTTGGGGAACTGTTGTCTCTCTCTTCCCTACTGCCAGCACGGCACAGAGTGCCAGCCTTCTGCTGCCCCCTTCCCTCTCTCTCCTGCCAGGTGTCCAGGGTGTGGAGGTGCAGTTGGAAAACCAGATGGTCTTGGTGAAGACCACTCTGCCCAGCCAGGAAGTGCAGGCTCTCCTGGAAGGCACGGGGCGGCAGGCCGTACTCAAGGGCATGGGCAGCAGCCATTTGCGTGAGTGACCACTGTGATCTTGCCCTTGGCCTCTCTGGGAGGGAGGTAGCTCCAGCTGGTACAATCTAACCATAGGATTCTTGGGCTCAGGGTTAGAGTGGTCTTTGGAAAGGCTTGAAGTCATATGAGACTCTTTCCCTGCCTTCCTTAGCTGATGAAGGGGTAGGGTGGGTGAGGTGGCAAGCTAGCCACATATCTTAATACCTTGCAGAGAATCTGGGGGCAGCAGTTGCCATTTTGGGGGGCTCTGGCACCGTGCAGGGAGTGGTCCGCTTCCTACAGCTGAACCCCGAGCGCTGCCTCATCGAGGGAACCATCGATGGCCTGGAGCCTGGGCTGCACGGACTCCATGTCCATCAATATGGGGACCTCACACAGGACTGTAACAGGTAGGTCATCTGTAATGTCCCTTGTATCCTCTGGAGCTTCATGCTCAGTCTTCACAAGTACCGGTGAGGCACATACACAGGCCCAGTCTACAGATAGGGAAACTGAGGCTCAAAGAGGTTCAGTGACTTACAAAACGCCCCAGAGGATGTAAAAATCCCAGAGTTAGGATTTCAATCAAGATCTGAGATGAAGCCAGGTGCTGGTGGCTCACGCCTGTAATCCTAACTACTTGGGAGGCATAGATCAGGAGGATTGAGGTTTGAAGCCAGCCTGGAGAAATAGCTCAAAAAGCCCTCTGTTGAAAAAAACCATCACAAAAAAGTGCTGGCAGAGTGGCTTAAGTGGTAGAGCACCTGCTTAGCAAGTGTGAGGTCCTGAGTTCAAATCCAGTACTACCAAAAAAAAAAGATCTGAGATGGAAAGCAACTCCTGGACACTGGAAAGGAGGAGCGGAGAGACAGCTCATTGACGGCAGAGTCCACATGTGATTCTTCTTTGTGCCTCTGCCCAAAGCCTGACACAGAGCAGGCCTGTTTGTTGAGTGAATGAGTAACTGTAGCAAATGCAGATAGAGAAGAGGATGAACCTCCTGGCCTGTGAGCTGCTGTTTGGCTGCCCACCTGCTACCTTTCCTCCTTAGCTGTGGGGACCACTTTAATCCTGATGGAACGTCTCATGGGGGCCCCCAGGACTCTGACCGGGTAAGTGTTAGTCTGGGTTGGGTTTGGGTGTAGAGAGAATTCAGGGTCTCAAAGGCAGGCAGGCAGCTTCTAAGCAGCTCCCTGGACTGTGATTGCTTTGTGGTGGGGTCTTTTCCTCTCTCTCTCTCTTTTTTTTTTTTGACTTAGGAACATTTACAAATGCTTTCTGTGATCAAGGTCCCAGGGATACCATGCAGTGCAGCCCAGTCCTTGGCTCCAACAGGCTCACAGTATAGTAGAATTGCATAGTTTTGGTGCATTGTGACCCTGGTAGGAGTCCAAAGTGAGCACCTGATCCAGCTTTAGGGGCAGGGGCAGTAGAAGATGTGGGAATTGGAGGTTTTACTAAAAAGGCTGCTCCTGATGCTATTATCCCAGTCCTGCAGTTCTGTTTTTCACCAGAGAATCTGTTTCCCCATCTTCAGGGAATCACATGTCACCTTAATGATCTTTGTCTTACTTGAGTTCAACTTGAACTGCTAGTTGCTCAATTGTTTGATTTAAATTGACTCACCTTTTTTTTCCCTTAACTAAATTTAGTTCATTTAAAAAATATATATTTTATACCTGCCTAGCAAGTGCAAGGCCCTGAGTTCAAACCCCAGTACTTTCAAAATAAGTAAATAAAATGAATTTTAATTTATACAGAAGGTTTCATATGTAACCCAAAGTAGACAAACAAGTGCCATGCACGCTTGTGTCCTTATCATCCAGCATCAGGTTACCGATTCATGGTCAGTCTTGTTTTATCTACACCCTCAGCCCTTTTCCACTGTTATTTGAAAGCAAATCAAGACTTCATTTCATATAATTAAGGTAGAATTATTGATTGATCGAGACAGGATCTCACCATGTTGCCCAATCTGGTCTCAAACTCCTGGGTTCAAGTGACCCTCTTGCTGCAGCCTCCCGAGTAGCTGGGACTATAGGTGTGCACCACCTCTCCTGCCTGAGTTAGATTTATTTTTAACAAAAAACTTGATATTACACAGAAAATGAAAAACCAGCTCTTCTGGCCATAAAAGGAAGGAAAGATTATTATAAAAATTGATCAATGAAAACCAAAAAAATTGTTAAGTCCTGCTAACAACTGTTCTGCAAGGCCCAGGGACTTTGTCAAGTGGAGTTTAGAGGCTGTTGGAGAGGTGTTACAGCTCTGTCAACACTGCTCTGAGACATTCTTCAAACACCTCACAGCTTCTCTGAGGAAGTCCCCCTGCACTTGGAGATGCAGTTCCAGGGTAGGTTCTGGTTTCCAGTGCCACTGGGAAAATGCGTCTCCTTATGTCATCCCAGGACAGGGAACTTTTTAAATTTTTTTATCTTGATAACAGTTTGCTTTCTTTTTTTTTTTTTTGGTGGCCAGTGCTCTTACTGCTTGAACCACTCCACCAGCACTTTTTGTGATGGTTTTTTTTTCGAGATAGGGTTTGAGAACTATTTGGCTGGAGCTGGCTTTGAACTGTGGTCCTCCTGATCTCTTGCCTCCTGAGTTGCTAGGATTACAGGCGTGAGCTACTGGTACCTGGCTGCAACCTCCTGACACAAACCAATGAAACCATGGTACATGTTGAGCATCCCTAATCTGAAAACTCAAAATTCAAATGCTCCAAAATCTGAAACTTTGAGTGGAGTGCATTTAAGAATTTGGATTTTTTTGGGCAGTCCTGGGGTTTGAACTCAGAGCTTTGCGCTTGTACACTGGGGCTCTACCACTTGAGCCATACCTCAGCCACCAAGAGCTTGGATTTTTGGATCAGTGATGCTCAACTAATAAAGTGTATGCAAATTTTCCAAAATCCAAAAACTGCTGAAATCAAATATTCTGGTCCTAAGCATTTTACATAAAGACTATTCAACCTGTATGTGTTTCTTAATTCATGTAACTAATGTTTTGGATTTTTGACAGTTCTGTCCCATTTCTCATAGTCAAAAATTCTTCCTCCCAGCGCCAGGTGTGGTGGTACATGCCTGCAATCCTAGGGAATCCTAGCACTAGGGAAGCTGAGGTAGGAGGATCACAACTTTTAGTGAAACCCTGTCTCAAAACAAAACAAAAGTTCTTCCTCCCTACCCTAGGAAGTTGGAAAGACATTTCTGTCTGGTCCATTGCATAGTGCCATGCTTGTGCTCAGTGTATTAGCGATCTGTTGCCTCAGATCAATTGACTCCAATGTTAGTGGTATGAAAACAACTTTGTTATTTACTATCTCACAGTTTCTCTGGGGCAGGAATCTAGGTGTCTTTGGCTCAGGGTCTCATGGGGCTGCAGTCATTTAAGAGCTGGGAGGATCTGCTTCCCAGCTTCCTCTTGTTGCTGTTGGCTAGCCTCCATCTTCCCTGGCTGTTAGCCAGGTATCAATATTTTGCCACCTGGGCTTCTCCCTGGGGCAGCTCACAACATGGCAGCTGACTTCTCTCAAAGCACATGAGTGAGAAAGTGAGAGGGCATCTAAGCCTGAAGGCCACATTCTTGTTGTAATCTAATCTAGGAAGTGACACTAGCTAGGTCCAGCCCACTCTCAAGGGGGTGGGGTAAATCACACAGGTTGTAAATACTGGAAGGGCCACCCACTGGCTCTCTGCCTTCTTGAGCCTTGAAAGATGAGGGGGAGGTGTTCAGCAGAGGAGAACATGAGAGTCAGGTGGCAGACCCAGCAGAGGAAACTGCCTAGGTGGAGCCCTCAAGTAGGGACACAGCAGTAGTGTTTCCAAAGGGCAGGAGACAACCTTATGACCTGTGTCTTTGCCCCAGCCCCGACTCAGGACAGGGAATTAGAAGGAACAAACAAAATAAAACATAAGTCTGTGGGTGCAGCTCAGTAATAGTGCACAGGCTTAGCATGCATAGGCTTTGGGTTCAATCCCCAGCACCAATGGAAAAAAGGGAAGGGGTCTAGAGTGAGAAGCCATATTGCACCCAAACCCTTAATATAGACAGAGGAAGAAAGGAGCAAGAATAGGGTGGCCAAGCCTGCTGTGCTATCTGGCAAGTTCCTTTGGGGTTCAGCACCTGGTTTTGCCATGTGGAAATAAAGAATTCAGTGTGGGAATTTATGTCAAAGCCTGGTTATCCCTTGCACACCTAACAATCTCTAGGCTTCCTTCCCCTCTCACCTGCCACAGTCTTTCTTCTTCTTAGACTGTACTGGAGGGAAAGCATAAAGGAACCATGCCATGCTGCCTTGCCTGAAACTCTTCTTGGTCCCCCAGTGCCCAAGGGTACAGGCTGGGTGCAGCTTCCTGGTATGATATTCTAGGCCTCATTGGCCCAGTTCTACCTGTCTGTGTGTTGAGGGGAGGCCTGGAAAGGCTGCCTGTCTGACTTCCTGCAGGGTCATACCTTTGTCTACTGCCCAGCCTGCTCTTCTACCTCAGAAATACTCCTCAAGGATCTTCAACTCCCTGACCTTGATCTTTTTACCATCAAAGTCCTCAACACAGGAAAGCAAACCAAAAAGTGCCAGGTGCCAGCAGCAGATGTCCCTCTGGGCAATGAGATAAAACAGAACCTGTGCTTCTTGCCCGCTCAGCCTTGCCACACCCTGACATGCTTTGCCATTAGCAAATAACAGAGCGGGCACTTGCTTCTGCCCTACTGTCAGGTTGGGGATGATTTATTTGCACAAATGTAGGTTTCTATGGCTCCCCAGTAAGCTCCTGTGACCCTCTAAGCCACTGCATTTCATAATCATGTCTGTTCCATATCAGGCCTTTAAAGTAGGGACTGAACATACTTCCCGCGGTGCCTGGCAGAGGGTGCTCAGTAGATCCATTGTGACATCTTTAGATTACCCTCAAGGGAGAAGGTGGATAGAGGCAGCCGCTGGGGCCAGAACAGCCTTTCACCCCTGCATGTTTCTCTCCCCTCGTTCCTCGAGGCTGGGAGTCAGGGAAGTGATACTGGCTGCTATGACGCCCAGAGAAGCCAAGCATAGCTGACTTAAGCCTCGGGGAATTGAAGACTGCCAAGGGCTCTCAGAGCCAACAGAGGCTGGAGAGCAGGGCTCGGAAAGAAACAGGAACTCTGCTAACTGGAGCTGGAAGCAGGGCCAGGCACTGGCTCATAGGAAAAACTGTCTGGTCCAACAGGGATGACCACACAGCTCACTGGGATTCTGCCCAGCCTTTCAGTTCCAGGGAGGGTGTGTCCAATTGCTTTTCCTGAGTCCTGAGCTGTCCCTTGACCCTACTGGGAGGAAATTTAGTTTTTTAGGGAAGTAGGAAGAGGAATCAGATACTGGGACTCCAGAAGACAGCAGCTGTACCCTATGTGACCCTTCTTCCCTACTGGTTCTCATTCCAGCACCGTGGAGACCTGGGCAATGTCCACGCTGATGCTGATGGCCGAGCCATTTTCCGGCTAGAGGATGAGCAGCTGAAAGTAAGATGAGAAGAAGGTGGGGACCCTTCTTAACAGGACGGTGGGGCTGAGGCTGTTGTCTCCTCTCAAAGGTATGGGATGTGATTGGCCGCAGCCTGGTTATTGATGAGGGAGAAGATGACCTAGGCCGAGGTGGCCACCCCCTATCCAAGGTCACCGGGAACTCTGGGGAGAGGTGAGTAGTACCACCCTCAACAGGAGGCTGTGCTGTGCCTGCAGTGGATGTGGAACCTGGGGTGCCCAGTGGAGGGCCAGTGCTAACCACACATCCTTCCACAGGTTGGCCTGTGGCATCATTGCACGCTCTGCTGGCCTCTTCCAGAACCCCAAGCAGATCTGCACCTGTGATGGTCTCACCATTTGGGAGGAGAGAGGCCGGCCTATTGCCGGCGAGGGCCGAAAGGACTCGGCCCAGCGCTCTGCCCATCTCTGAGCAGGACCTTTCCTCAGGTCTCTTCTGTCCTCCCTGCTGAACCCCTTCCACCTGAGAGAAAGCAGGGGGCGCCTTGTTTGCCCACGCTGAGGAGGAGTAGGTATAGAATATGTAGGGATTGCTGTGATATGCACAATTAAATTTTATTTTCACATGTAACCTTGTGTTTTGTCTGTGTCTCTGTGTCCCTTAATGGGACTGGTAAACATAGTCTCTCTGCCTCTACCCTTTGAATCCAGGGCCACCCCTTAGCTCTGGAGCCAAACAATCCTTGATTCAAATCCACACATACCCCGAGGGCCCTTTCCCTCCTTGGGGTCATAATGAATGACCACGTGGCCTCCCGCTTCCCCCACTGTGCTGGCCTGTCTCCCCAAGAAGTCAGCGCAGATCTAACTGGTCTCTCCCTTTGGTTGGAGCTATAGCATGGGAACATGGGTACTTTAAGTGGCCTCCCTGCCTTGTCAACTGAGACCAGAAAAAACCAGTCTTGCCAAGGAGGAGGAATGAAGTTGATACCCAGAGAGGACTCTGGAGTCCCCGACGTGGGCTCTTCCTGAGGCCAGCTGCTTCCTAAAAGGCATGTCTGTACCCTCCAATGCATGTCCTCCCATTTTTAATCAGGGACTGGGTATGGTGGTGTGCTCTTGTAATCCCAGCTACTCTGCAGGTGAAGACAAAAAGATTACAATTCAAGGACAGCCCAGGCAAAAGTCAGGTAAATCCTATCTCAAGAAACAAGCCTGGGCCAAGTGCAGTGACTCACGCCTATAATTCTAGCTACTCAGAAGGTGAGATAGGGAGGAATGAAGTTCGCCTCAAACAGATTGTCTCATAACAGCTTGGGCAAGCGGTTATGAGAGATCCCATCTTGACCAATAAGGTGAGCATGGTGGTACATGCCTGTGATCCCAGACATGTGGGAGGTATACGTAGGAGTATTGTTGTCCAGGATGGCCAGGGCAAACACATGAGACCCTACCCAAAAATAACTAAAGCTAAAAGGACAGGGGTCGGGGGTGGGGGGGTGGTTCAAGTGTTAGAGCACCTGCCTAGCAAGCTGAAGGTCCTGAGTTTAAAGCCCTAATTCCCCCCCCAAAAAAAGAAACAAGCTGGATGCGGTATTACATACCTGTGTTCCCAGCTACTCAAAAGACAGATAGGAGGATTGTGGTTTGAGGCCAGCTTGGGTTCATCTGAAAAACAAACTAAAAGCAAAAGGATGAGGGGTTCAAGTGGTAAAATGACTGAGGCCCTGGGTTCAATCCTTAGTACTGCAAAAAGAAAAGAAAAGAAAAATCTAGCTGGGGTATAGCTCAGTATAGTACTTGCCTAGTAGGCAAAAGGTCCTAAGTTCAATCCTTGCCACCACAAAAAAAAAAACCAAAAATATCGCTGAGTGAGATGGTACACAGCTGTAATCCCAGCACCCGGGAGGCTTAAGTAGGAGGATTATGAGTTTGAGACCAGCCTGAGCTACATAGCAAGACTGTTTTTGGGTTTTTTTGGGTGGCACTGGGGTTTGAACTCAGGTCCTCACACTTGCTAGGCAGGCGCTCTACTTCTTGAGACACTCCACCAGCCCAGCAAGACTGTTTCAAAAAAAAAAAAAAAATTTAGTTGGGTGCCAGTGGCTCACATCTATAAATCCTAACTGTTTAGGAGGCTGAGAGGACTGTGGTTTGAGGCCATCCTTGGCAAATGTTCTCCAAAATAAGCAGACCAAAATGGACTGGAGATGTGACTCGAGTGGTAGAGAACTTGCTTTGCAAGGGAGAAGCCCAGAGTTCAAACCTTAGTCCCACCAGAAAAAAAAATCTGGCTTGAGCTGATTTGCTCATAAGTAAAAACCTCTTAATTAACCTGAGTAACTCTTAACTAATAAGTGTTTGGCACAGAGCCTGGCACATGGTAAGTCAAGGGAGCAGTTGCTGTGATTTTAGACCACATGGAGCCCAGAGACAGTCCCAGTAAAGATCCCTTCTCAGCCAATGGCTACTAACCAGGAACTAGCTCATTGGTCTCAGATTCTAGGCTCCTAGTCATCTGTTCTGTCCCCTACTTCTCCCCACTGGGCCACATCAGGCTAGCCTAGCCTTAATGCTGTTTTTATGACAGAGTGAGCTGTCAGGCTACAAACTTTGCCCTGGGCTGCACATTTGGACCCAGGCAACGGTTTAACAATTGGCCTTAGCTTTGAGGCCCCTAGCTCTGCTCCCATCCCCCAGCTCTGCATGTTCCCCACTTTAAGCCTGCTAGCACAGCCTGCAGTGCTGACCTTGGACCCTGTTCCTATCCAGCAAATCTGTGCTGGTTGTTTTCCAGCTCCTGGGAGCCAGTCCTTTTAAGCCTGCAGTCTAGAATCTTTCCCCACCTCTTGACCATTGCAGAAACTCCTGGATTTTGCCTGCAGCCAACCCCTGACCTTCTCTCAACTCTGTTCTGGAATTATAGCTAGGCTTAACCCTTTTATGAGTGGACTGCTCATCGTTCCTTACCACTCTGTTAACACTTAGATCAATATCCTTCCAGCCACGGAATGCCAGCTGCCACCATAAGCTAGAAAAGGAGCCATGCTCAGGTGACTTACACCAATAATCCAAGCTACTTGGGAGGCTGAGGTTGGGAGACCCCCATCTCCTAAATCACCAAACTAAAAATAGACGGGAGACGTGGCTCAAGTGAGCCCCAAGGGCAAAGCCCTGAGTTCGAGCCCCAGTCCCGCCAAAAACAAAACAAAACGAAAATCAGAATGCTAAAAGAGGCAGAAATGATTCTCCCCTAGAGCCTCTGGAAGGAGCCCAGCCTTACCTACACCTTGGTGTTGGCCCAGTGATGCTAATTTTGGATTGCTGGCCTCCAGAGTGTGAAAGACAATGCATGTGAAAAGACAGTTGTTTTAAGCCACCTGGTTGTGGTAATTGTTAGAGCAGCCACAGAAAACATTACTATTCAATTTTGTTTTTTTTTTTTTTTTTTTTTAGCAATTAGGCCAGTTTATTTTAAAGAGACTCCTGAGGTAGTTAATATGGGAAACAGTAGGCAAATCCATAGAACCTTCTCTGGGCTTAGTTCGTCCAGCAACGCGTCTCTCTGAGGGGTTCCCAGGCTGGTTAGGTCAAAAGGAGCCCAGATCCTGCACTGGAGGGGAACTGCAGCCAGGAAGGGTCTCCAGATATCGACCCCAGTTTTCACAAAATGCTCAGCTGAGTCCACAAATGGCAAGAGTACTTTATTTTAGTAAAAATGTCCTCTTTGTATTGGCTCCTCCCCCCATCACTAGAAAGCAGCTTCCTGGATAAAAAGCAACTCATTTATTTAGACATACTCTTTTTAGGCAACTTTAACTTCTTCCACCTCCGTAACACCACACGGTATTTTTCATTTTCAGTCTTTTCTTCAAAGACTTTTTTCAGGAGAACCCGCATCACAGCCTGTGTTTCTGCTTCTGTGTCCTCTCCAATGAGAAGATCCAAAGTATCTCCCACTTTCACCGTTCTGCTTTTCTTCCATAATTTTTCCCCATTCAGTCTGAGTTCTCCTTTGTAGAATGCATCTTCTATTTTGTTTCTCCCAATATCGAGGCCTGTCTTCAGGACAACATCATACCGAAAAGACTGCACAACTTTGTCCAGGTCTTTGTAGTCTTTGGGCACACTAGGGTCATCCTCAAGCTCCTCTTCCTGCTCACTCCTCTCATTATGATCACCCTCCTCATCCGAGTCCTCTTTGTCCTCTACTTTTTGCAGAGTTTTGTTGGTGTGTTTTTTAGAGTTTATATTGCTTTTGAATCTTACAGAAAGTGGAATATATTCTGGAGATATTAAAAGCCCTGGGTGTCTCAGAGAAAAAATCTTATGGAAAAGTGTTTTATAATTTGATGTATTTAACTTGGTACTAGAAAAGTACAAGCATCGATTCCAGGAAGCACAGAGTTTGTGTGAAGGTGTCTCTTGAAGCACACTCCAGAGTCCAATGCAGGCATCTGGCTTTCTTAAAACACCAGTGAACAATCTGACACCAGTCATAGCCATGGTGCATATAACCTTTTTTTCCTTGAAACCTTACGAAAGCACAAACGGAGTCAGATGCCGGTGGCTCAAGCCTGTAATCCTAGCAGCTTGGGAGGCTGAGTTCAGGAGGATCAAGGTTGGAGGCCAGACCAGGCAAACAGTTCACAAGACCCTATCTCCAAAATAAGCAGAGCAAAATGGACTGGAGGTGTGGCTCAAACAGAATGCCTACTTTTTGAGTGCCTGCTTTGGAACAGACAGGCTCACCAAAAACAAAACAAAACAAAGAACAAAGGTTCTGAAGGTTGGAAAGTTCAAGAGCAGGGTGCTGGCACCTGGTAAAGGCCTTCTTCCTACATCACAACACGGTAGAGGGCATGATGGTGAGAAAGAGCCAATTTTGTTAAAGTAATACATTTAAAATCTAATCTTTCAGACTTTAAGTTTAAATTCCAAAGTTTATTGTTTTATTCACAAATGTAAAAATAAGAACAAGTACTTTTTCCCTTTGTTTGATAAAACTCAGGTTGGATATATTAAAATCCATTAAATTGCTGAGATGTATCTCAGTGGTAGAGCACTTGCCTAGCTTGTGCAATGCCCTGGTTTCAATACCCAACAGCACAAAAAAATTTTTTTTTCATAAAATCCATTAGATTACTATATACATTTGCAATGTCATTGTTTCCTCTCCGTTTTAAAGTTGTATTTGAACATTTAATGTAGTTAGTATTCTTTTTCTTATATTTTTATTAGCATATATTCATTGTATAGAGGGGAATTTGTTGTGACAATTCTGAATAGCCTTATGCTGTGTGTTGGTTAGGTTACCCACTCATCTCCCTCTCACCACCCCTGCCCTCCCCTCCCTGTCTCACTTAAAGCAATTACAAAAAGTTTCATGGTTCTATTTCCTTTATACGTATCTTTTTTTTTTTTTTTGATGTGTGATATTGGTGATTAAATGCAGGGCCTCAAGTTCAAGTGCTCTTATCACTTGAGCCACACCCCCACTCCTTTTGCCTTTGGTGTTTTTCAGATAGGGTCTCTGGCTAACTTTGCCCAGACTGGCCTTAGACTGAGATCCTCCTACCTCTGCCTCTCGAGTAACTGGGATCACAGATGCACAGTACCACATCTTGTTCATTTAATTTTCTTAAATACTCTAGATGCTTGATTTAAATGTAAAATTCTCAAGATATTTCCTTGGGATGGATGGTAGGACCTTGCCTATGTTAGGCAAGCACTCCACAATTGAACTACATCCCCATCACCATTGTTGTGATATCTTATTTTTGATTTTTGTATTGTCTATGGAATTCTGTATCAAGATGAGTTCTGCAGCAATTAACACAGTCCTGACCAACAGCAGCCAAACCAATTAAGATGTAATTATCTAATAAGATAAGCAGTCTGAAGGTTGTAAATTCAGAGTTGGTGCATCTACCTGGTGACATCAGGACACTGTGTCACTATGTACTGTTTCTTTTAGCATTCCCCCCTCTCAAGTACAGGGAGGTACCATAGCACATAGAACTTCCCAAGCCAGAAGTTCAAAATTGTATCACTGGACAGACATTAGGTGTGGACAAGGCTGTGATCCCTCCCCAGGTTGCAGGGGACAGTTGTTCCTACCTCTTCCAGATCCTTGTGGCTGCTGTCATTTCCTGGCTGGTGGCTATATCTCACGCTAATCTTCAAGGCCAGCCTCTCTCTTTTCTCTGTTTTCCCATTACCTTTTCCTGGGCATATTTGTATCAAATCTCCCTTTTCCTCCATCTTACACAGATAAAAGTGATTGTATCCAGGGCCCACCAGAATAATCTAGGATAATCTCTCAATATTAATCACATCTCTAAATCCTTTACTCCATAAAATAACATTCACAGGTTCAGGGGATAAGAACTTGATATCTGCTGAGCTCTGACGACTCATGCCTGTAATCCTAGCTACCCGGCAGGCAGAGATCAGAAAGATAGATCGTGGTTCAAAGCCAGCCTGGGCAACTAGTAAGAGAGACCCTATCTTGGAAAAACCCTTCACGAAAAAGGGTTGGTGAAGTGGCTCAAGGTATAGGCCCTGAGTTCAAACCCCAGTACAGCAAAAAAAAAGAAAAAAAAGAACCTGGCTGTTTTATTAAGCCTGTCACAGAGACCTAGAAAACTTACGGTTAGTTGATATAATTAACTGAGGCAAAGATCTCCTAAGTAGTTTGGTTCCTGTTTTGTAGTCTATATTACAAAATTTTTCTCTGGCATTTCCCTCCATTCACTGTGAAGAGATGAGAAGTTTCTCTAGCGGATTGCTTTATAACCCAGGGTCAAGCGTGTTCCAATTAAGTTTACAAAATTTGGTTTAGATCAGAGGGTCTCAGTGGGAGTGGTACTGGCCTGTAGAAGTGTTTTGGAAGTTTATGAAGACTTTCCTGGTGGTGATAATGCTGGTGGGAGTGGAGACACTAGTGGCATGTATTGAGGGAAAACCAAGGATATTTGGTCACTTGCGATGTGCAGGAATAGCCCTGCACCCGTTGTCTTACCAGATACCCTTATAGGTCAAATGTCTCACTAAATATCCTTGTAGGTGAAAAACACATTTATAACTAGTTGTCTCTCAGTATCCATGGGGAATTAGTTTCAGGACTCTCTGCAGATACCAAAATCCATGGAGGATCAAGTCCCTTATGTAAAATGGCTTAGCATTTGCACAAATGTACGCATACTTTCCCCTATACTTAAAATCATCATTGCTAGGCTATTTACCATAGCTAATACAGTGTAAATGCTTTGTAAATAGTGGTTATATTGTATTGTTCAGGGACTAATAACTCATACAAATACAGATATTTTGATCTGTGGTAGGTTGAATGTGTAGATGCAGAACCCACAGATATGAAGAACCAACTGTATTACGAGTCAAGAACCTAACTTATTTCATTAGAAACAAAATATAGCCAGGTGCAGGTGGCTCGCATCTGTAATCCTAGCTACTCAGGAGGCAGAGATCAGGGCAAATAGTTAGCGAGAACTTATCTCAAAAAAACCTCATCACACAAAAAAAATGTTCTGGTGGAGTTTCTCAAGGTATATTCCCTGAATTCAAATTCCAGAAACACACACACACACCACCATCACCACCACCACCACCACAACAACAAAAGAAACAAAGAAAAAAAAGGAAACAAAGTATAATAGCTGAGAACCAGTGGTCACTCCCTTAATCCTAGCTACTTTGAAGGCTGAGATCTGGAGGATTGTGGTCCCAGGTCAGCCTGGGCAAACAGTTTACAGCACCCTATTTCTAAAAATAACCATAGTAAAATGGTTTGGAAGCTTGGCTCAAGTGGTAGAATGCCTACTTGGCAAGTACAAAGCCCTGAGTTCAAACATTATAGATTTTATTATTATTATTTTTTGGCAGTACTGGGGCTTGAACTCAAGGCCTTGTGTTTGCTAGGCAAGTGCTCCACCACCTGAACCATACCTCCAGCCTGATTTTTCTTTTTAATGAATTAAATGATTATTACAGCCTACCTAGAAGGCACTACAGAAATAGGCACTACAAAAGTGTAATATTGGGTCTGGTAGAGTTGAAAATACTTGTGGAGGAATATTATTATTATTATTATTATTAGCAATACTGGGGTTTGAACTCAGGGCCTCACACTTGTTAGGTAGGCACGCTACTTGAGCCCTTTTCTGTGTTGGGTATTTTCTTTTTTTGCAGCATTGTGGTTTGAACTCAGGGCCTCACACTTGTTGGGCAGGCACTCTTACCACTTGAGCCACTCTGCCAGCTCCGTGTTGGTTATTTTTGAGATAGGGTCTGGTGAGCTGTTTGCCTGGGCTGGCCTCCTACTTCGATCCTCCTGATCTCTGCTTCCTGAGTATAGGATCATTATTAAACTTGTGTAAGTCATACAGGAGGGTTGGGATAGAGGTATAGCTCAGTAGCAGAGACTTGCCTAGCATGCATGAGGCTCCGGGTTCATCCCTAGCAGCACACACACACAAAAAAAGTACATTAATGTGTGCTCTTCAGATGTAAATCAAGTTAAAACAGGATTATGAACTTTACTTTCATTTTTCTATCTAGAACTAAGTACCATGTAATGATGTACCATGAAAACTTGAGTACAGTTATATTATTTGAAACAGTGGTCTGGTCTCCCACGCTGTGGTTTTTACAAGAAGGTTGGATTAAATTAATGTGCTTCTTACAACTTCAAAATCCACACAGAACTCAGAATTTCTTTTAAATTTTTGTCTATCTTAATGTTGGATAATGTTGGATAGTGTTTTCCTTTTTGAATAGGCTTCAGGGAAGCTCAGAGAAAAATTTAACTTTCAATCACAATAGCTCATTCATTCTCAATAGGGACATTACTCTAACGGGTGACAATTGGTTCTTCTGCTGCTTTATGGCCTTCCAAAAGCCCACAGTACATAAAGATACACAGTATATCCGTGGTATAAAGATGGAGTGGGAGGGGCTGGGGTGTGGCTCAACTAGTACAGTGCCTCCTAGCAAGCATGAGGCAATGTGAGTAAAGGTGATTAGAAAATAAATATATATTAAAATACACAAATAATAAAATAAATATGTATAAAGTCTCCTTAGGGAAGTGATAATGAAAAGAGGCTAGAGAAACTTCAGTAGCTATATTAAGCCTGGTAGTGAGCACATTTTTTTCATTTAATGACTTTGATATATAATTTATATTTTAATGACTGTAAAAATTCCTTCTATTTTAAGTTGCTATGACTGATTTTGGAAAAGTGGTATGGTATAAATAATTATACCAGATACATTTTTTTGCTTTTATTTCTTCTTTTTTTTCCCAAATACATTTTTTACTGAAGTTTTGGATCTTTGTGCAAAAGTACAACAAAGGGTTTTTAGAGAGACAAGGAGCCTATTCTTATTCTTCAGCACAATCACCCTTTTTGTTTCAAAGCATCATTTAATCATTGACCCGTAGGTAAGGGGAAGGACCACAGAAATAGGTCAAACTGGGTATGAGGCATGGC